AGGTTTCTGCGCTTTGAAAGGGATTTGGGCGTTTTTTTTGTTTTTTGTTGTTTTTAAAAAAAAATAGTTTGTAGCATTGCATAGAAGCAGTCCTTGAGCTACCCCATAGAAGGGTAATTTGATACCGACCATGTAGCTATATTTTTATAATGGTAGTTTTTAATGTCTGAACTGGTGATTTGCCTCAACAACGTAAACTTCCTAATGATCAGCACTAAATGATCGAATATAAAATGCTTTATTAATCAAACAAGTGCACTTGAACATTTTAAATCTATATGGTGAGTAAATTAAAAGAAGTCTATTGATAATTTTTTAAAAAATTATGCCTGCAGAATATTTACTTTATATTATTTGATTAAATGTATTATTTATATTTTTCTCTCTGCTTTCGTAACAGTGGTTCAGGTGTCTTGTGGTTTACTTCCAGGTTTCTTTGAGCATTTTGTAAACATCTGTCAGGGAAGAGTCTGGGCCAAATGTTGGAAAAGCACATTAGCTGAAGAGTGTAATGTACCTTACGGCCCAGGCTTGGACTCCTGAAACCTAGGCGGTGTTGCGCCAGTAACAGGAGTTTAAGGATAATGTCAGAATCGACATTTGGTCGTGCTTCTGTAGTCCATGCGAAATTATGGCAATTGAAGGAATGATCTAGAGAATTAATACTTGAAAACTAATTGCAACATTTTCATTAACTTTTCACTCTGGCAAGTGGCCTTGCTTTCATTTTGAACCCTGCTTGTGGTTGCCTGGGATTTCTAGGTCTCTGTGCTCTGTGTTTCTGCCTTTTCAAGCAGGTGCCATATTTATTTGTATTCTCTTTGCACTGCTCGCATGCACCTTTCAAGCCAGCTTGCTGCATTCATCTCCGATGTCGGTTGGTACGTCCGTCCTCTGCTGTTCTTCAGGAAAGCCATGGCCTTACCTATTTGAAACAAGTCCTGAGTGTAGATGCAGGAACTCCGAGTGTAAACAACCGCTCCAGAGCATAGCTCCTTAATAAAGAAATGTACCTCCTTAAAGAGCAGAGCTGATGTCTTTGAGCGCGTCACAAACAATGGCCAGGACTCACATGAAGGCAGTGATTTGCTCGAGCCTTCTATTTGATAAGCGGATGTGGGTTACATACTCTCCGAGCTGAATAATACTAACAATAATAGTAATAATAATAATAATAAATGATGGTCTGGGGCTTCCTTCCAGAGTGGGTGACTATCCATGTGTCTTCTTGCGTTAAATAATCCTGGTATGATACTGTGCCAACTTTGAACTTCAGAATGATTCCAGTCAAGTCATAGGCCTGATGACCCAGAGTCCAGGTTACACCGCAGCTTCATTCCATAGACTCCTAGCTGAGGCTGGCGTTTGGCGTCTGTTATTAACAAGATATCCATTTCCCATTTCGGGCTGCTCATGCAGCTGCCTTTTTATGCGGGGTGGGGGAGGAGGGAGAGAAGAGGGGAAGGAAGGGAGAAATTCAAGTCAAGTTTCATTTCTTCTTGAAATTTCAAATGGAAATGCCTCAAAGTAGACATTGAGAGCTGCCTGCTTTTTGTTAGCCACGTTTACTTTTAAAGATGTGGGTTTTTTATTGTTAATTTCCAGAGTGGTTTATATTACATGGGTAAAAAAAGAAGATTCTTTATAGTCTTGGGCCAGGTTCACTGCCAGGTGCTGGTGGATCTTAGGATCGGTACTGGCTGGGTCAGAGGCAAATCCCCACCCTGCTCTCTAGCCAGGGAAGAGGCTGTGGCTGTAACATTTGCTAACCTAAGCCCAGAAAGACAGTTTAAGTCAGGAGTGTCCAAGGCTTAAACATTTGCACAGAGCTGACAGCTGCAAAGACCAGAGCTGGATTTGGGGACATTTTGCTTTTGTGTACTGCTTGAATCTATGCTGGCTGGAACAGAGCAAGGGAGCCTCAGGCTGAGAGCCTGGCTGGGAAACAGCCTTAGGCATAAACTACCTGAAAACCAGTGCTGGCTAAATTCCAACAGTTTTGATTTAGGGAACTCTTTCAAATTTGCTGTCTCTGGGCTGGAGAGAGGGCTCAGCAGTTATGAGCACTTGCTCTTGCAGAAGAATAGGGTTTGAGTCTCAGCATTCATGTGGTGGCTCTCAACCATCTATAACCCCAGGTCCAGGGAATTCAATGTGGTTGGTGCACATATATACATGCTGGCAAAATGTTTATACACATAGAATAAGAATAAAAAATAAATTAAAATTGCCATCTCCAACTCAAGAATGCTCCTCCAAATATCACTCTTCGAACTGGAATTTGACAAGATTCAATTGGGAAAAGGACACACTAAGGGGCTGAGTGGGAATGGAAATCAAGGGGAAAGTAAGGTAAAAATGTCGCTTCTTTGACATTCTGGCCATCTACACTGCTCTGGAAATGCAGCTTTGGCCCCGTACACCATGATAAAATCCCAGCTCGTGTTCAGACCATTGCAATAACCAGTGTGCGGAGCTTATGCATTTGTTCATATACATATTCACAGTTAAGTGTTGGTAATGAATACAGAAGTGAATGCTTCCTAAGAAAGAGCACAGGTCTGTCTCCAAATAAAGACCCTGAGAATCCCTCCGCCACCCTTCTCTTCCTCCCCTGGCTCTCCCACGAGTAGATAGACCGCCCCACCCATGATGGTGTCTCAGTAGAGGATTAGCGGTCAGGCTCAGATCTGTAAACAGTGAAGCACTGCAGCATGAAACAAACGTCTTTTTTGCTGCATAAATTTACATAAACCTTTGGAGACCCCTTTGCAAACCTGGGGAGCTTTTTTGCCCTGAAAGGAGACTTAAGTCTATAAAGTGATTAGGGAAAAATTAAGACCCCCCCCCTCCATGTTAACACTGACTGAAAGAGAAAAGCCATCTGAGCGACTAGGCTGTGTAGGAGCCAGAAACACAAAACGAGGGTGTGGTTCTTACTTCTTTATAGAGAAAAGTCAGTTCAAGGGTACCCTGTTGGAATTCCCACAATACATTGCTAGCCTCTGCATAGGAGACAAACAGTGCAGCACGGCCACCTTTCTATTCAGGACAAACTACAAACTACAAAGGCAGGTGATAAAGTTTACTTTTATTTGGGTGGAGGGGAGATGATGCAGAGACAAATTGAGATTAGTTTCTAGAATATTTTAGAACCAAACGATCTCTCTACCCAGTTTCACGCACACAGGGCGATGTAAACTGTTCCTGACCAGGGAAGGAACACCAGCTCACCCATTCACGTGTGTAATAATGCGGTGTTTAATACACTGCACAAGATTTCACATCCAGCATCTGCCCTCCATGTCTTTGGTGTTTGCTGAATCCTCGGGTGGCTAGAGGTGGAAAAGGGAAGAGAGAAAACATTTTAATGGACCAGCAAAATTAGGGCCCATTGGCCTTTTCAAGAAATAAGACTTTTGCTGACAGATGGTGGCAGAAGCCCTTTAACTAAAATTATTCAAGGTCATCAGAACTTTCTCTTGGGATACAAATGGCCTGCACAAAAGGATGCTGTGCATTTCCTTCTTAAATAAGTTCATACCCAATAGTTACTGGGTGTGAAGATATTTCTGGCAAAGAGCTTATGGTTAGAAACGTCTTGCTAGAATGTTCTGAAAAGACCCAACAGGGTAGTGACCCTTTTCAGGCAGGCATTGACAGCTGGCTGGCAGTGCCCATGAGGGCATTGTTGGAGGTCAGCCAAGGACACTGGCTTTCAGGTGGAGTTCACCAGAGAGGTTGCCACTGACAAGGCAAAGAGAGATATGTTTCCAACCTTTGAGGAGATTTTTTTTTCTAGATTATTTTTTATCGTGAACAGATAAAGCCCCTCTCCTCTTCAAGAAGGCATTAACTTTTCAATGGAGGGGGGAAGGGCGGTGGCGGAAGTAAGTGCACAGAGGACTGGAATTAAATTCCCCAAAAGTCTTTATATCTTAGGACCTAAAGTGAGGATCTCGAGGGGGTCTTCCTTCCTGTGACGATAGGTAAAAACTCAGCCGCGGGTGCTCAAAATGGTATTTCGGAGAGGTGGACAAGTAGACAAGTATCTCGAATTGTTTACCAGCCTTTGGGATGGGCGACTGCTCTCCCACCGCAGAAACCCCCAGGAGGCCCGAGGGTCCCAGTTTAGGTTGGAGTCAAGTGCGACAAGAGCTTGTGCTTTCTTGGCCTGTGCAGCCCAATTTTCTGGGCAAGATTTGGGATGTAGCTTGCCTGAGATGAGCGGGTAAAAAACGGAGAGCGCCTGGCATTCCTTCTGGACAAGTGTTTTTGTGAGGGAGTGGAGGAGAGAAGCCAAGTGACCAACGTAGAGGAGACGTGATACTGGGGGAGGCGCTGTGGGGATGACATCCCCTGAGGGTGAGCACCGCCAACACTCATTTTCCTCCCACATGGCGGCCAATTGCACGGAGGTTTTGAGCCAAACAAAAACAAAAATGTCCAATAATTCCTAGAAAAGGTGTGTGTGTGTGTGTGTGTGTGTGTGTGTGTGTGTGTGTGTGTGTGTGTGTGAGAGAGAGAGAGAGAGAGAGAGAGAGAGAGAGAAGGAGGGAGGGAGAACAGAGGAGAGAATAGAGAGAGAGACAGAGAGACAGAGAGAAAGACAGAGAAAGACACAGAGAGAAAGAAATAGAGAAGAGAGATTTGAAGAGAAAGGAAAGAAAGATAAAGACGAGGGGTAGTAAGGAGAGAGAGAGAGAGAGAGAGAGAGAGAGAGAGAGAGAGAGAGAGAAGAGAAAGGAGAGGAAAAACATGGCGCTCGCGAGCTGTATGTGCAAAATCCGCAAGGAATTGCAGTAAATTCCTTTTTGTTTGAAGAAAATTTACAACTTGGTAATAGACCTTTTTATGACCTATTTGCGGTCGTCATTGGCTGCGGCTGGTCATGTGCAGGCGCCGCTCGCCTTCACGGCCTTTTTCCTGATTTCCCAGGCGAATTTGCCCCCGCATTCTGCTTTCCCAGAGCCTCACCCCCTCTTTTTTCTAACCTTTGTCTCTGCAGAGGTGGGCTCCAGTCGCCGACTGCGGGATCGCGGGGTCCGCAGCGGCCTGGGCTCCCGCAGCGACTCCACCGCAGCTCGTCTCAGGCACCGATCGTGGCTGCCTACGGAGCCGGCGGGGAGCCCAGAAGGAGCCCGGGGCGCCGAGCCTCCCGTCGCGGCTCACACTCCTGCGGGGAGTCGCTTGCCTGCTCTGCCGGGGCGACCGCGGCCGCGTGGTTCCCACCCGGTCCCTCCAGCAACATGAGCCCGAACCTGACGCCAAGGGTGCGTGCAGCCCGGCAGCGCCCGATGGATTCCAGTCGCCGCCGGGGCCGACCGCCCGCAGCTCGGCAGCCTCCGGGTAAGAGCCGCCCTCCAGGCGCCCGAGCTGCCCGCGCCACCGCCTCGGGCAATGGGTGCCACTTTGCCGGCGCCCTGTATTACCCAAGAACCCGGGGGTCACACTTTGCGTCTCTCTCCCTAATGCATGTCCCTTGGGGCTCAAGGTGGGGTCCTCTGTACTCTAAAGTGCATAGGGGACTCGTTCATTCCCCCCCCCCCCCCCTCGACTTGGAACCCCTCAGATCCGGAGGCCCCCACCCCCACCCCGGAATCCACCCTGGGAGGAAGAGTGTGCAGATGGCTTCAGGAAACCTCAGTTTGGTTGGGGGTTGGGGAGGGTCAATAAAGGTTTCCTATAATACAGAATACTGTGCTTTCGTGGTTTGACGGTGGTCAGGGCTATGATAGGTTAACAGGTGTTTTTCGAGGGTTGGGGCTGGGTGGGGTGGGGGCGGGGTGGATTCTGTGTACTCAGGATGTGTTTCTTGAGTGAGGCCACTTTTTAGGGTTTATAGTTTATTGGGCCTTGTGTATGAAACGACGTTTTAGTCATTTTAAAGCGTTTCTCTAATCCTCGGGGCGGGGTGGGGTGGGGGGAACTGGTAATAACTCAAGCAAGGTTCCTCCTACATCCGATAATGTATCAGGTGAATTTGAACTATTTTATGTCACAAAATGAATGCTTGTTTTGGGATGTAAGATCAGAAAATCTGGTGCAGGTTTTAGGATATACCCAGTAGATATTAGAGCAATGCGAGGCATTTCTCAGTTCAAACATCACGTATGTTTCTCATTTGTCAGAGTCGTGAAAGAGTAGGTTTTTTTTTTCTTTCTAAATGCATTATGGTATTTTTTTTTCGCTTATCAATGAACGCCACACAGCAACATTTCTTACTTTGAAACACAACTGAACCAACACACACACACACACACACACACACACAAAACCTTTGCAGAACCTAATGCTGTTTTCTCCAACAATTTTGGATGGTGTTTGACCATGCATTTGGCATCTCCTGTTTTCTATTCCTTCATGAACACGTAGGGGAGCAGCAAAAGCTCAGGCGATCTGCCGCATTGCGCATGAGACCGCACATGGTGGTGGGCTCCAGTCCCCAAAGTGCCTATCGATAGATTAATCCTTATCGTTTGCCCAGATATTCCAGTATAACAGTGTTGGCTGTGCAAGTATTTGTGAACAATAGGTGGTATATCTATAGGAATGTGTTTTTAATAATTAAGAATGGAATCACCCTCCTTTCAAAATGGAGGGCTAGTTGATGCCTGCAGAATTGTCCTGGGTCAGTGACTCTGAGTGCTCAGTCTAGAGTCGGATTTTTTTTTTTTTAAATTTAGAGTAGCTGCATCTTATAAGCAGTTTCCCATCACACAATGATGACACTGAAATGATTCTCTGGTAGACAGAAGAAGCAGTCCCTTTTGGAAAGCCAGATCTTTGAGTGGGTATAGGCCCTGTAGCAAGGTCAGTTGAAGCTGGGTGGGGCTGAGGGGGAAGACTGGACATTCTGAGACCGGGTGCGGCTGGAGGTGAACTGGATGTTCTGCTGGTCAAGTTGTAGGTTTGGGGTTTCAACTGCTTTTTCCTGGGTTTGGAGGTCCAGTCTGCTGCAGTGACAGAGATGGTCGTGATTTCACAGAGGAAGGTGACGCCATGTGCAGATATGGAGGACCCAGGCAGTCTTTGTAAGCTTCATGGTAGTATTGAAAGCTTATTGGGAAGGAGTGGTTGATTGCATCTTGAGAAATGAATATTTGGCAAGTCGCACATTTTCTCTCCCAAAGTGTAAGAGGCCATTGCCACCAGAGCTGCTTTCATTGTTTCTGTGAACCTAACAACAAAAAAAAAAGAAAGAAAGAAAGAAAGAAAGAAAGAAAGAAAGAAAGAAAAGAAAGAAAATGGAAAGGAAAAGAAACGAAATTTTAAAAATGTTCAGAGCCTAAAAGTTTAGAGGTTTGTGGGCACAGTTCCCAGTGTCTTGGGTCCAAACCTCTATTTATAGACTTGGGAGCCAACGTCCTGACCTTGGTGTCCTTGATGTGGACGGGAGCTGGGAGTCAGTCTCTGGGAGAACCACGTAAAAGAGAGAGGCTGGCTATCACAAATGTAGCCAAGAATAAGGGCTAAAAGCTAAGCGTGTTTTTCCTGTTATATCTTTTTTTACAAATACGTATATTTCTGCCAGAATTCTGTTCTCTGAGCCTGAGAGGCAGGGAAACCCGAACAAAGACAGTATTTCACCCTGGGCTGGCAGGCAGCTGTTAGAGGTATTTACGGCCTTGTCGCAGTGCAGCGGCCAGTGAGGGTATGCGGGGGCACAGGAAGCTGTGGAGAAGCAACCAGGAACTCGGAATTCCGATTTAAATCCAATTTAGGTGCATTTTTTCGGAAATGATGAAAATAGATACCATTGTTTCAAAGGAAAGTATCCCCTAGACTTGATAGATTTGCAAAACTAAAGAAGAAATTATGCTCTCTAAACGCAGGGTGGGGTGACACCCCCCCCCCCCGCTGATAGAAAACTCAGGACTCAGGGGAAGCTGTACCCCAGATGTGAAAATTCTGACCCGAAAGAACGATGAGAGTGTTCATGAACAACATGGAGATTTTGCTGATTTGACAAAACTGGACCAGCAAACTTAGAAAGGTTAGTTGAGGCGTTAATTCAAATTTTTCCTGAAAAAGAAAACTACATTGTCTGCCTCTGCAGATAGGATAGGATTTCCAAGTGCCTCTGCAGCCAGGTGCTGGAGTCCTGTGCGATGCAGTCCAGGGTACTGTGCTTGACAGGCATTGCTCAGAGCCTCTGCAGTGCGGCGCACGCCCAGCGCATGTGCAGTGAAATAGCCCAGCCCAGAGATTGAACCAGCACAGATGGGGGGAGGGGGCAAAGGGAAGAGATAACCAGATCTCTTACCCCTCCCTCAGGATTTGCTGCTCATCTTTTCTTCCAGCCTTTTTTCTAAAGATAGTCGCTAACTTTACGACTTTTTACGCTAACTTGACCACAATTGCTTTAGATCTAGAGCTAGACTTACCACCCCACCCAAATTTGTCTGTATTGTCTGTAGCTGTTAGAAACAGCTTACGAATATGAGCTAATAGTAAGTAGATTTTCCCCCCTGGTACGCATGCACACCACACACACACACACACACACACACACACACACACACACACACACACGGGACCCTTGGAAATACACAGATTTTTCTCAGACTGGTGCAGCCTGTTCTGGGAAAAGGCCTTTCTTCCTGGAGCCTGTTCAAACTACCAAACCATCCCTGGATCTCGTTTTGCCAGCCAGCACAGGGCGTCCTAAGGCTCAGGCAGGCTCAGCAAAGAGCAATCAAGTAAATAAATAAGTAAACAAACAAATGGCCAAACTGGAAGGATTTTCCTCCCTGTCACGCTTCTGGAAGGATTTTCCTCCCTTGTCACGCACAAGCTTATTGTCTGAGCTGGGGGTAGGACGGTGAGAAGTAGCTTCGAGGACTTCTGGGCTTCTTTCTGCCTCTCCAATGGACGTGGCAGGACCAATCTCTGATGCTGGGAGACCTCAGCCCCAGAAAAGAAGTGCCTGGCTTTGGGTTTTCAGGGCTGGTGGTGTCCCTGGTCGGCTATCTGGAGCTTTGTCCAGGAGGAGGCGCTGTAGGACAAGCGGCTCGCTGGCTTCGCGGTGCGGCAGATGCCCTGGGCGGGAGGGGAAGGGGAGGACACAAGAGCCACCCCTTCCTCTACTCCGCCCTCCACTTGAGCTCGCACAGCGTGAATAGCATCAGACAAGGCTGGGTGGTGTGGTCACTTATCCTCTAGCTGCCCGCAGCAAAGACAGCTCTTAGGTTCTTGGGGTGAGCCTAAAGTCTGATTCTGGGGTGAAAGGCCACGTTGTTTCCCTTGCCTACCCAGAGAGGGCGTGATTTGCGGTTCTCTAGGGACAGGCGGCTAGGATCTTAGAGCAAGCTGTTCCTAAACCACAGGACCCAGTGAGATGCCTCACCCGCCACACAGCCTCCGTCCCTGTCCCTGCCTTTCACTGTGCCCCAAATCCTGGTACCCAGGACGGACAGTTTGAGAAAGTACAGTATGAATGGAAACCCCTTTTTAGCAAGGCAACTGACCTCCCCCTGCTTATTTAGAACAGGGCCTGGGCCCTGTGACTCTGAAAGCCTGGGGAAATCCCACCATGCAGTTCACAGCTTGAGAATCAGGCAGATGCACAGGGCTACTGTCCTGGAAACCACAGCCCCACCATCATGCCCACTCCAGGCCTGCTGTGTGCTTTGCTGGCTGGTCCTCCTCCAAGGGTGACACCAACTTCAACTCCTCCTGACTCACTCACTGATCCTTTGTTGTCCCCTCCAGCGTCCTGCAATGTCCCCCTCCTCACTACTCCAAGGCAATGATTCTCAGCAAAGGCTCTGCTCCCAAATGTCTACATAAATTAGGTTTTTAGGTTCCCCCAAAACACACTGAATTCCAATGTCAATATGGGGTGTTTGGGCATCCTGAAAACATTCTCCCCAAAGCAATAAGGAGGATGTGTACTTAGGCTTGCGAGCCATGGGTCAAGAGTCTCTTTATTCTCCTGCTTCCTTCTCTAAGTGTACACTGTACATTCCCAGAGCCCCTGAAGCTACAATCATGACTGTCTGGTTTGGTTTGTTTTTATGTTACTACACTAGAGCTGAGCAATTTCTTCTACTTTATGGATGAATTACAGGGTCTGTGGATTCCTAACTTTGGACTTGGAGGGCTCAAAGAGAGCAGTTTTGAAGCTGAGTTCAGTTTACCTGGGTTAAATCCCATACTCTACCAAGTACTTGCTGGGTGACTTAAGTGAATCTTAACCTAACCAAATCTCTAAGCCAGTTTCTTCCTTTGAGAGAAGGAACAATAACAATATCATCAAGGGTTCTTCTGAGAATTTTGCTTTTTTAAAGACGGGATCTCATTATGTTATCTGACTGCCCTTGGGCTTAAGGCAGTCCTTCTGTCCC